TCAGAAACCCTGATACTAAACTCAAACAGGAACAATGTGAACAAGGTATTTATATCTTGTATTCCTTCACCTAATGATGGTTATATTATGATTCARACAGGGACAGGCCTGCAGCAATTGCCATGCAGGTGAAATCCATAGACGACACTTCAAATTTTGATGAATTTCAAGAGTCTGAATTTGATTCATGTAAGTTAGATGATACACAGATCTGATACACAGCAATCTCTTTGACCATATTGATCACTAAATTTTGACTATTTTTTGTCATTTACAATCTTTTTAATCTTCTATTATAATCTTTTGCTTCAGATTGGTTTAGTAACTCCAAAGAAAAGGACACATCAGTAATGGCAAACAACAAAGACTGGGTTTTCCTCAATTATACATTTAAACGATTTGAAGGATTGACTCAAAGAGGGCATAAATTAGCTCCTTTGTAATAATCTTTAATAGTCATTAATAATTTTTAAATAATTTAYATTTATACATCATAGCCAATATTTGGCTATCACATATTTCATGGGATTTTGTAATTTCTCCTGAATTTCATCTGTTGTAAAATACTGTTTCATCAAAGACTAATGATAAGGGAAGAGTGAGTTTAAGCCAGTCTTCTCCCTTCTCCCTTGGCACAGGAATCCTGATGTAAAACTKCWCAACATCAGTAAAATGGTTTTGAATCTAAATACTTCAAAAGCTAAAGAATAACAGAAAAAGCATGTTTTTTCTAAATAAAAATTTACTACATTTTGTAAGAACACACAGCCAATGTTGTCATGGTTTCCCAAGMTGTAATTATAAATAATTATTTACCAAGTTTGTTTGTTGCTAAAAGTAATTTGTTTAAAGAAAATTTAGTTTTTTAACTCCTAGAAATGTATTCTGGCTCTGKATTGTATAATTGTTTTTTGACTTTTTCCTTTCCTGTTTGACAAATTGCATGTCTTGCAGTGAAATAGAGTGGTTTTCAGTTGACTGTTAAGGACGATGAGATGTAGCTGTCAAAAATAAGCTATAATATTTCAGTGTCAACAGCAGAGAGCTGCCTATTTGAGGGAGACAAAGGAAGCCGAACTATTTGGAGCAACTGTGAATGGAATACTTTATACACAGGAGTAAGTCTTGTCCATGCAAGACAGGCTATGGTGCTTGTTGCTGAAATTCACAGTGAAAACCACTAGTAAACATATGAGACTATCAAGGATATTTCGGTTTAATTTTGATATTAAGGCTGTTGTTGATAAAAAGATAAATTTTGTACATTTTTACGGTGAAKTATTGTATGTATTATTTTATTTAGGGTAATAATATTAACTAATTCAGTAATAAACGTTGTAAACTAACATGAGAGTCTGTCTCATAATC